CGACGGGGTGGCCCCGGTCACCCGAGTGCGGCTGTCGCCACCCGGCGCGCCGCCCCTGACGGCTGACACCCGCCAGCTGCTAGCCGAGCGGAGACAGGCGCTCCAGGCAGGCGGACAGCGCGACCGCTACAAGGAGCTGAACCGCCAGTGCCGCGGAGCGATACGGCGAGACCAGACTGCCCACTATCAGCGCGAACTGGACAAGGCGGGGCCGGGCAGCGTCTGGCGCGTGCTGCGGCCTATCATTGGCAGTAAGAAGGAAACTGCCGTGCCCAGTGCTACCCCTGATGCACTCAACGACTATTATGTCAGCATTGGCCCTGCCACTGCCGCCAGCGTCCCGAGACCTGCTGCACCGGTGCCCGTCCGCCTGCCACGAGTGACGACAAGTGGGTTCCGGCCACAGCCCATCGATCTTGACACGCTGTGTCTGGTCCTGTGGTCCATGAAGCCGTCTAGAGCAACCGGACTTGACGGGATCAGTGTCGACATGTTCAGGAGATACTTCTGGGGTACTGGACAGATTCTGCTCGACATGATCAACACGAGCCTGGTGACCTGTCAGGTGCCGGCGGCGTGGAAACACGCGCTTGTCACGCCAATCCCGAAGGGGAAAGGACCTTCAGCTCCAGCCAACACCCGCCCAATCTCGATTCTGCCGGGAGTGATGAAGATTACTGAGAGAGTAGTGCAGCTCCAGCTCACTCAGTACCTGGAGACCAACAAGCTGCTCTCCAGCGCCCAGCACGGATACCGGAAGGGTCACAGCACGGAGACCGCTCTCAGCGTCATCACCGAACACGTCCTCTGCGCTATGGACTGTCGCGAGATATCTGTGCTCGTGCTACTTGACCTATCGAAGTGCTTCGATGTGGTACCGCACGCCAGACTACTCGATAAGCTGGCGCTGTATGGTGTAGACACAGAGTGGTTCGGAGACTATTTGCGCGGCCACACTCAGCAAGTGCAAGTGATCGGTGGTGACGGCACTCCCATGTGTTCCGCTGCTAAGCCCAACTCCATCGGGGTCTTCCAGGGCGGCTCGCTCAGCTGTGTCTTGTACACCATCTTCACGAACGAGCTCAGTTTGTTTGTGCCCGACGGGGTCCGAGTGGTACAATACGCGGACGACACACAGTTGCTTGTCAGCGGCAAGAAAAGTGAGCTGCCTGCTTTAATTGTCCGCATGGAGCAGGCCCTTGTCAATGTGTACGACTGGTTTTGTTCAAACGGGATGAAACTAAACGCGTCCAAAACCCAGGCACTTGTGCTCGGTACACCTGCTATGCTGAGAGGTTTACCGCCAGTGGCACTAGACTTCCTAGGAACCACCATACCCGACTCTAGAGTAGTGAAGAACTTGGGTGTCATCATGGACAATTATCTGAGCTTCCAGTCGCATGTGGACCATGTAACATCAAAGTGCACGGGTATTCTTCTTGGTATGATGCATGCCAAACATGTAGTTCCGAAAAGTGCTGTCGTGACGATCGTGCAGGCTCTTGTGACATCAATCATTAGATACTGCATCTCGGTTTACGGTACATGTAATGCAACGCAGCTACATAGAGTACAGAAGCTCCTAAACTTTGGTGCCAGAGTGGTTAGCGGCCGGCGTAAGCACGACCATGTAGCGGACGTTCTCCGTGACCTGAACTGGTTAGACGCGCGTGGCCTTGTCACGTATCACCGACTGTGTCTCACCCATGCTGCCATCACGACCGGTAGTCCCGAATGCATCGCTATGTGCATCGGCCCCAGTAGAGACCACGTGTATCAGACGAGAGGCTCCTCTCAGCGCACGCTACCGAGGATACACTCTGAGTCGGGTCGCAGGCGTCTCAGCTACGGTGCTGTCCAGCAGTACAACCAGCTGCCATTCGACACAAACACTCGCCACTTCAAATCCACCCTGAGACGCTACCTACTCAGAGAACTGTATGGCTGACCTGATCAAGTATCGCGGTGTATTGTATTGGCCTGAATGTATTTTACCTCGCATGTTTTCAACCTTTGACGTGTGACGATGAAAAACCATATTCGATGGATTCGTTATGAAATATATTCTGATTCTGATTCTGATTCAGGGCCCGTGAACAGCCCTCAGAGGCGGTTGACACCTACTAGGAATACCCGGCAAAACCCTTGCTGGTTGACCTGACCTGACCTGACCCGACCTGGCCTAAATGCATGAAGACATCATCTATGATCATAACTAGCATGATATTCGTGATCAGCACAAAAAAAAACATAGCAGCCACCCTTTACGACGCTATCAGGTCCCGATTTTCCGGACTTTTGGGTCGTTGACCTGACCTGGAAGGTCAACCGATAACCTAGGATCTTAAAGTTGGGTATCATCGGCTTCTTTTCATCACGGGCAACACGGTCGTTTTTTCCGCGAAGCTCTAGCTCGGTCAGGGGCCAAACGGCAAGGGGGGAGGGTCCAACGGACCCCCCCCCCCCGTATACATTCGCAGCTGGAAAACACCAATACGGGCGAGGGTTAATGGATGGATTATTTAAGACAATTTTCCAGGTTGCCCCCCCCCCAGTCAAATTCCCTTAAAATAGGCTCTGCCTTTAAGGAAAATACAAGAATTAAAGGTTTTGAGACCTTAGATACCTACTAAATCCTGTAAGAATTATTTCCTTGTAAATGATCCTCTAGTATAGGAGGCTTGCAAAGCTGCGGCATTTTAAGATCTTGCTAAGTCTAACTTATGTCGGCCAGTGACCTGGTCTGGCCTGAAAATAGGGCTTTGTGTCATAAGATTTAAAATATTACATATATCACAGGTTGTGAAGGTAATGCATCCGGTCCGCTATACGCACTATCCACCATCCCGTTCTGTGCTCGCCTTCCGCTCCACACACATCAGCCGAGCTACAAGTCAGTCGGGCTAGCGCTATCCTCCCCTCCCTTCCTGGCTTCACAGCGCTAAGACCCAGAGCCGAGACTACCCGAGCGCGACCTCTGACCCCACGCGGTCCGAAGGGTCAGCTGGTGCCTGAGGGCGCGCCACGCGCCGGCCACCCGGATAGCCGCTGCTGAGTCTCCCTTTCATGCTCCGTTTACTACGCGCTCGATTGATTCATGATTCTGTGTTTCCGCGTCCGTCTCGGTAGGTGACACCACGGATGTCATAGGCGATCCCAGGAAGACTGCGGCTGCGGCCAGAATGCCCCAAACGGCAGAAAATGAGGCTTTTGCTAAATATCTCAGAAAGTATTTGTCTTACGACGATGCAATTTCACAGTATCGTGGCAAATGTGCATACGCACAAATCGGGTTAATACTTATGCATATGCACTTGATATAAGACCAGATATAGCCTAAAAAGCAAAACCAACCACTGTTGTACTGGAGAGCCGTACTTTGAGGCTTATATATCATTGTTTAACGATATGTGTAAGTGTTATTGTGTGTTTGCCGACCCCCACCGGACACGATTTGGTAGCCGAGATCTGTGACGTCAGCTGGGCGTGAAGTTTTCCCTTCACCATAGGCTTTACACACAAACTGGCCAAAGTTCATACCTGGATAGCCCAGCCTGAAGGGCAACAAATAATTAGATTTTGCCCTTATTAGATTCAGTGCTTCATTTTATAACTGAAAACGTCCGTTATTAGGCCTCTATGGAGGTACAAAGTACTCAAAATCGGAGTTAAAGAAGATGCTGTCCGAGCACAATCTGGTAGCATCACGTGACTTCTTTTCAACAGATTATATATAATTTAAGGATATATTTACACGATTTCTGCCTAAAACATCATAAATAATACACTTCTAACATTTATTACTTCTGTTTAAGTCCTAACATTGCAAAACGCAAAGTTGATCATTTCAGTCACGTGACCAAAGGTATAGCAGGGGGTTGGGACAAACACTCGAAGGATTTCAAGTTTTGTAATAATTAAATTATATAAGTTTCATAATGAAATTGAAAGATTTAATTTTTGCTTATAAAATAGAAATTTTCGTATGCAAATTTTCGTACTTTCCTTATAGGCGAAATTCTCCAAATAAGAAATGTCAGTGACGTCACCAGGGTTTTAATCAAAACATCCAACCTACTTGTTTCTTATAGGCATCTTGGTATTTGCATCATTCCAACCAGGCGAGCACTTTAACTATTTCCGCGTGAAAATGAGATTGTATTTTTCAAATGTGTATTGTCTTGTTGTGTTAGAACATATACCTATATGGCTGACGAAGAAGGCAGTAGCCTTCGAAAGCTACCACTTAGGTATATAAACGTTACTGGTGTGGAATAACTCTTTTTGCTATAAACAATATGTCCCAGTACAATAATTCCATTTTAATGCTACTTTTTAGTTTTTCCTCTCTGGAGGCTAAACCATTGACCTGATGTCCAATCTGAGAGCAACACTCAGGTCTATAAAAGGGCTATCGAATGCGCTTTTCCGCGACGCTGTAGCTCGATTGGTTCCCGAGTTAGCCGTTGGAAGTTTCCAAAATTGCTGAAATGGACTAAATTTCACCTTTGATGACCTCTGGTGACCTGACCTTTGACCTGATCTAAAAAATGAGCGAAATGCTTCTGTCATTATTATTTTTGACGCTCCTTTGATTGCCACTTACCGTGTGTCGCTACGTGGCCCAGGAGCCGAGTTAGAGGGGGGCGTGAAAACGTCCCCCCCAGGCACGACACGAAAAACACAGGCCACCAGCACGGCGCGGGTTAACTAATAGGTAATGGAGAGGTCGCAAAATTGACCTGACCATCAATGTAGATATTTGCCTGAGGGTTACGCAAGGCGAATGTTCAGTGAGATCAGCAGGTTTCTATGGCGGTTATTCAAAGTCGATCATGCACACTCACATCATCAAAGGTCGTCTTCTATAGGCTACGTCGGCCGAAGAAATTCGCATGGATGCGTATTTTGAGAATAAAATGTCTGTAGCCTGAGCTCGTTTCCTATATCGTGCTAAATATTCATCAAGACCAAGGTTTTTTTATGAAAAAACACTGGGCTGCAATGGCACTAATTGGATTTTATGAAAAAAAACAGCGAAACTTGGTTCTTATACTCGTATTTTGCAACACCTAGTAAATCATGCATAAGCATGACGTTACATTTTAGACTGACGCCCCTGTCACTAGCTGACAATGGCGTCCGAAAAAGTCGCCCCCTCGAGCACCATGCCATCAGCCTTTCGCTGATGTCTGGCTACGCCACTGTGTCCAGATCATCAATGGCTATACTATACTGGAATGCACAGCAATGACTCGCACAGCAATGACTCTTCATGCACGCGCGTAGGTTCACAACTCTGCCCAGTGGCGGTCACAGAGACTCTGGGGTGCGTCAAGGTGGGTAGATATTACAGTTGTTCGATGATAGCGAGTATGCTGTGGCAGGCAGAATTGTGACACATTTAAGAAAGTTGTCTAATTGAAATACGAAGCTGTGCGATGCTCGCCTTTGACGATACATCTCACTATTACTGAATGGTGCCGGCTTTTGTTCGATTACGTACATCCTCACATTAGGTACTGATCGGCGGTGACCTGTATAAGTACAACGTGTTTGCGCAGGTCCCTGTCCGAGTAGCTGCGAGTGCAGCACCGACGCACTGCAGCTGACCAGTGGTGCTGGCAGGCGCGCCTCAGACGAACGAGTAGGCGTTGTCGACGGCCCGCTGAGCCGACTGGAGGCCGCCGGCCTGCTGCTCCAGCCGCTCCAGTGACTCGGTGCGCAGTCGGACAGAGCCACCGTATGTACGAACCTGAGGCATACGTGGAGAATTGTATGCAGCTGTCAGCTGGGGGTGTCCAAACACCCACGTGATCCTGTCAATACCCACGCCATATAAATGAGCACCAAATCCTGTAACACAGCCATAACACAAAAATGAAAATTAAAAACCTGGCCCTCGCCCCAGTTTTTTTTATATTCGCGATAGCTCGAACACGCCGGGGATAGAGAGCTGAAAGCATGAACGACCTTTAATTCAAGCTGGATCTTTTGACAGCAACTGCATTTTTGGGTCAGGTCAGGTCACTGAGCTACGACGATATAAATGAATCTCTGCACGGTCCTCAGATGCCGCAACTTCGTAACACCCTCCGTGCCAGACGAACTTTCACAGGGAGATGAAAGTTACAGAACGTAGTATCCTCAAGAGGTCTCAAAACCTGTTTAACTCGGATTTTTCCTAAAGATCACATGAGGTCAGGGCGATCACGTGACCTCACCATTATAAGTCAATGCAGAAATATGGAAACTGTTATTTTGGCGCCAGGAATAATATACAACTATCTCAAGCACATGGACTCGTGATTTCATGCACTCTTTGCAAGGTCCGATGCTTCACTTTTGCATTGTTGACCTTGCGTGACGTCATTTATGATGTCACTAGGGTCATAAGTTTTTCGTCAATAACTCCCGACCAAACTCAAAATCTCAATCAACTCCCGATCAAAAATCTTTCGAACAGCTTCGTGACCTGACTGGCTCTGACATGACCTTGACCCAAGGTCAACATCTTATGTTGACCTCATCCGAACAAAACATATCCTATTCGACGCGCCTGAGCTAGGTGACCACTGACCACGATGATGCCAAAATCGCGGCTCTGTGATCATTTATTCGAAGCTATTTACCAAAAAACCAAACCATGACTTGGGCCACTTGACCTGACCACAGAGGTCACCAGTTACCTTGAGACCTGACCTTAAAATCAGGTACCAATCGCTGCATTTCGTAACGGCGTCCAAGTGCGTTTTTTTCCCACGAGGTTCTACGTTAGGCGGCACGGGCGGACATCGATAGCAGCGCCTCTATCGGTCACTAGGGAAAGCTGGGCTGTAGGCGACGAAATACCGGCTGAGTTGTCACACGTTGAATAGGTTTATAGCCATCCGTCTTGTGAAAAAGTTGAACTTTTGCCTTTAATATTTCTAAAGGCAATTTTAGAAGTGCCTTCACATGGATTACAAAAACCGTTTAGATTATTGTATTCACTTCAAGCCTTCCCTATTGTTCTTGATGATGCGGGAACTATTTCTAATTAGTGTTTCTAGCTTAGTAAAAGAACATACTGTGCAAACGATGAAAAAAGCATAAATGGAAGATTTTAAATGCAATTTTCTCTAACAATTAATGGTAAATTCTCTACATAGCAAGGAAAAGGTGCATGCTAACTGATAATTTAAAGTTCTTGGGGCCAGTTGTTTTCTTCTTTTCTTACGTCGCCCCAATGGCCGCGAATACACTTATGATAACGCCTATCGAGCTCCATCAACGGCGAGGGGGATCGCACAGTCGTGTACAGGTTGATGGTCCTCTACTCTTTATCCACCGGTTTCCTATGGCTCAGCATTGGCAGCAGCCGCCTGGTACCGGTAGGCTGTGCCGCATGACCCGAAAGTTATGCGGCACAGTCTACCCACGCCGTTTGACATCGGCTCGGGTCGCCGGGTGGAGCGCTTTGTAGACCAGCTGTTGCGTCAGACCAGCGCGGGGGGGGGGGAGGGGCTCGTCTCAGTGGTTGGCGTGGGCTGGCGAGTGGTGTGGGGCGTGTTGGTGGACCATGGGGGCTGGTCGGGTGTGTGTGATCACTTGCTGCATTGCACATTTTGCGTCGCTTAAAAATTGCACTCCTGTTTTTGCTAAGCACAATGCACGGAAGACCCATCGAATATAATTTACTTTACTTGTCCATTGTGCAATACGTGATTTGGCACGGTATCGAGGCAACGGTCTTGTGCCTATGCATGATATTTAGGCAATACGTTTATGGATTGATGCTGGATGTCAATTCGTATGCTAAATTCGGCACGTATTAAATGAATGAATGAGTCAATCAATCAATCAATCAAACAATCAATCGCCATGTATAAAACCGTATAAATGGCTCGCAACCACTAATGGCAATCAATCTAAATGAATTCAAAATGAATTCAAAAGTTTAGGCCATACATGCACTATAATACATTTGTCACATCTGTCTATTGATAATCCTCAATAGCAATCAAACCATCCTAACTCGGAAAAGCAGCCGGAGCCCTGACGAGGCTCGAACCGGGACTCCACGCTGTAAGTTTTTTTTCCAATGATACACCATCATTCCACCAAGCTAGAGTGACCGGCACCCGAACCCACAAAACATTAATTGACTTTGCCGCCGACCTCCCGGCCCCGCCGCCCGCCCGGCCAGACTTTGCCCCGGCCGTAGCCACCATCCGGTGTAGCTCAGCGTAGGAGTGGAGTGCTTGGCTGTCAGACTGACCGGTAGTGAGGGCCCGGCTCGAAGCGCTTGACGTGCTGGATATTTATTTCTCGGTGGGAGGCTTTGCGTTTAGTCCACTTTTCAGAAAGATTATTTGGTGACTGATCTGTTTTCTTTCTTTCCTGCAATTCATGAGAGACCGTACAGTCCACAGCAGAAGTAATGTGTGGTTTCAGTCATGGGTATGTTCTGCTTCTGAAGCTTAGGAACGCTTAGCCAGACTACAATGAAACTTTGAATGTAGCTTATATGTATCGTCACCCTTGCAGCTGCAACTTTAGCTACTGACATCTTCTTTTCGATCACTCCGCATTAAACAATCGCCAGTCAAAGCCAACCGTTGAGATTGGTAAACCCCTACATTACTTTAGCGGTGGGCTGTACATGCATCCTTACCTGTCCTTCCGCACCCCACTTGGGAGATGGGTGGTTGACCCCCCATGGGTTTTGTGAATATCTCTAAAACGAATTTTTGGAGGAGGGATACGATCGGTTCTATGCGACAAGTGACCACACACGCCCAGCCCCAGGTCCGCTCACATCCTCCCCGCATCACCCCCTCCCCACACCACACTCCAGCCCGCCTCTCCACTGCACCGAGCCGAGCCAAATCGACAGGCCTGACCCTTCTTCCCCCCCCCCCCTCCCAGCCGGTGTGACGCAGCGTCCGGTCAAATCGCTCTACCAGGCGACCCGAGCCGGTGTCATACAGTGTGGGTAGGCTGTGCCGTTTCACTCTCGGGTCATGCGGCACAGCCTACCGGTACCAGGCGGCTGCTGCCAATGCTGAGCCATAGGAACCCGGTAGATAAAGAGTGGTGGACCATCAACCTGTACACGACTGTACCCACGTTTACCGACCCCACTCGGCCAGAAGGTATGTAGGTCCTGTGAGTGCTTTAACCCTCGCCCTGGCAGGGCATTTTTCATAACACGGCCTGGCAGGGGGGGGGGGTATTGTATTGTATTGTACTTATCGTGGCAAGCCGATCCATCCGAAAATGGCTATTATTGGCTGCCGAGTCAGGTGAAACGAATGAGGTGGGCACAACATTACATACAACACACACGCATCACATTTGCACACATATTCACATTTGCGCCACCGCGCCGCTACACACTGGCCGGGTCGCCGTGTTGCTCACGCAGTAGGAGCTTCCGATACTCCCTCCGAAAGAGCCTGTGACCGAGATTGCGCAGCGCCTGAGGCAGAGCGTTATACTGCGATACAGTGGCGTATAGGAACCGGCGGCGCCCGGATTCCGTTCTAATCACGGGTAAATCGAGCAGGTCGGCCTGACGCGTATCACGCCCATGCACGCTACCTCGCGACACAATCGCGTTGGATAGGGCTTCGGGCTCTCCTGTCTCGAGGATTTTCTTTAATAGCGTGACAGACCGTAGACGCCACATATTCTCGGCCGAGAGCCACCGCAACTCTTTCAGCACTTCGCTTACATGGTCATACTTCCGCTTGCCCGACACAACACGAGCACCGAAATTGATAAGCCGCTGGAGCCGAGACATCTGGGTGACACCACATCCACCATAGACAACAATGGCGTACCGGATCGATGAGACTACTAGAGCCTGAACCAGAGTGGCCAGCGTACTTTTCGGTAGGTAGTGCCTACTGTGACTCAGGCCGCTCAGAATACCGGTGCATCGGCGGGCTACATCAGTCACATGATTTGAGAAGGTCATGCTCTCGTCAAAAGTGACGCCGAGGTTTTTAGCTGAGGACGTTCCCACAGTAGTGGTACCCATGAACCTGATTTCTATCGGGGCTAGTTGACGAATTTGCTGCCTTGTGCCCAAAACAATGATCTGAGTTTTATCTGCGTTAATCTTTAGCCCATTTTTTCGGAACCAGAGTGACAGAGCTGCAAGGTCCCGCTCCAACTGGGTTACCATAGCTCCGACATCGCTTGGACTCCCCAGTACAGCTAGCTGCGTGTCATCACAGTATTGTACAAGACAACGATCGTACAAGGCACCTTCCGGCAAAAACAGTGACATATCGGTGGTGTACACGTTGAACAACAACGGCCCGAGCGCGGATCCCTGATAGGTGCCGATGGGGTTGTCCAAAGGCCGTGACAGAGTACCACGACCGTCCGGTGTACGAATCTGGACTTGTTGTTGGTGATCGGCAAGATAACTGGAGAACCAGCGGACGTCGACGCCGTACTGCTCAAGTTTGACGAGCAATCGGTCGTGGGGTATCACGTCAAAGGCCTTAGACAAGTCCAGCATACAAAGTAGCGCCACCTGTCGTCGATCCATCGCCTCAAAAACCCTGTCAGTTAAGGTCAGAAGTGCAGTTTCGGTAGAATGGTTGTTTCGGAAACCATGCTGGCTGGGGGAAAAGAGATGATGGGCTGAGAGGTAGGAAAAAAGTTGCTCATATACTACTCGTTCAGTGATTTTGGCGATCGTTGGAAGGATGGATATTGGTCTGAAGTTTGATGTCTCTGTAGATTTAGGATTTTTCT